TATACTTTGAGCACGTTTTTTGTTTTGGTGTAAGGGATGTTAATCAAAATTTTTATTACGCTTCCGCATTTGACCTTTTTAATTCACATATTTTATTTTAAAATTCCGGGGCCGTTACAATTGCTACATCAAGATCAAAATACTTTCTACATAAAAATAAAAAAAGAAAAAAAATGTCATGAGTCCTGTTGGATATGATCAAGATGACTTACTTATGTAATAAGTTATGATGTTTCATGTCGCCCTAAAGTCATGATTTATAAGCAATGGAATTTTGACTATATCACTTTTTCACATATTGAGGGTTTTAGAGATTTCATATAAATTAGTGGGAGAACATGTTAATGAAAGACCATATTGTTTTATACATTACATGAAGAGTATTTATGTTATTGATATATGTTTTATATTTCTAGAAATACATCTTAATATATTGAGAGGTACAATTGATATTAATTAATTACAAGGTCCTAACTACTTAGATTAGCTGAAGAACCTAAAAGTGTAGGGATTTTAAATTAAACTAAATCTATATCTACAACATATTCATATTGAATCATTAAGATTAGACATAAACAGAAGCGTACCTAAATCCATAACAGAAAAAATCTGCATGTTCTACGGTAGATCTTCTAAATCAATATGTAATCCTTTCGAGTTCTCACACACTCTATTTCTGCTAACGGGATAACAAAATAGAAAAAATCATACGTATGATTTGGGGAGCATAACTACCTATTTATATTTTTAAGTTTTTATTATTTTAATTTGACCCATCATAAAATTAGAAATAACTTTTTTTGTTTCTACATATAAAAGCTTATACTTTATTTAGTGCATTAAAATTCAATATTCGTTTAACTTTAACGTATCACTTTTAAATCGGACTTAATTAAATTGATAGTCATTTATGCACAATAAACTCACATATAAATATGTTAAAGTTCAACGTATGGTACAGAGTAAACTTTACCATGTGTTTGAGAAATATTTTCCTAAAAAGCTACCTAAGGATGTCTTAGTAGAGGAACAAGCAACTTGGGAATAGTATCCAGATTATAACACTCAAGCCAAGTGTAAATTACTGGCTTCTATGTCAAATGATTTGGAAAGACAGCATGAGAATATGCCTCCTTGTGGGAATATTTTACAGAATTTAAGAGGGAGTCCTGGAGAAAAATCCCTTGTCCTTCAATACAACTTCACTAATGAATTCTGCTCTGCTAAGATGTGGGAAAGATCTTGGAGGCTCGCATGCTTAAGATGATTGACTGTGCCTATGGGCTAGAAAACCTTCAAATTTAGCTGGATGGCAATTTGATTATTGACATATCACTTCTGTCCATTCCAAGACCATATAACGCATTTGTTTTTAAATGGTTTATACTTTTGAGGGTTACAAAATTATAAACCGTTTTGAACCAAAAGGTAGAGGTTTCTTATTTTTCATGAATTAAATCTTAGATTTAAGATTTCGAAGATGTTTAAGATGATAAGTTTATTTTCTCACAACAGTGTTTATCATTCAAAAGTTGTCTTCTGGACTCGTTTCAGCTATCCCAAGTAGTACTAAAAATTAAAACGAAGAGCAAGCCTGCATTCTGTAATCTGCTATTACAAACTCGTGCAGAAACAAACTATTGCTTTCAAGTGAGTGAAGAAACAAAAGGAAATATTACAAATGCATAAAAATAAATAAATAAATAAAAGTAAAATGATATCCCAGAGTTTAGTTATAAGCTCAACTTTGGTCATTTGACTGTAGAAATGGAAGAGTCTGGGTCGACTTCCTTCCTGGATGCCTCCCACAAGCAACGTTCAATGCCCAACTTTCTAAGCTCCATTAACCCTTGCTCAACTGAAAGAAATAACCAAATTGGACCATCAAGAGTGACTCAAAAAGAAAACATGATTAAAGTAGAGGGCCAAACAAAGGTCATTGTTGGGGAAACAGGATTACTTGTCATTAACCATTCAGTTCATAAAATTAGAAGTTACCATCAACAGCATCGTGTGAACTTGGCGAGTGAGCGCTTCGGCCAATCCAAAACTGGACTCTTTCTTTCGCAATGTCCACCTCCAAACCATGGCCTTCAGCTCTTCTCCAGAAATACGTAAGCCATGCCTGTTTTATTCAAATGTGCCAAACATATGATTATGATATCTTGTCTATATATTGTCACCTGTAAGCTTATAAAACACAACCTCCAGAAAGAGAGTAAGGTCGCACAAAATCGACAAAACGGTTTCAAAATCATAAAAAAGTGATGAAGAAATTATTGATCTCGTTTACCAAATCCATCAGAGTTAACTGAAATAGGATAATCAGATTATTTTACGGAACTGGCACAGTAATCAATGGACTGGCCTTATATTTTGGAACAATAATGGCCATGGAAGTGGATAATAGACTAAGAAAAGATGAGATGGTCTTATACCTACAAGCTACATTTCAGGCAGCTGTCTCTTTGGACGTGGCGATGTGGGGAGGGGTGGGTGGTGTTATCTTCATAGATCAATGAAGTTTTGTTTTTTGGAAGTAAAGCAAGCATTAGATTGCGAGTATAACCTGTGCCAGTTGGCATGCTAAAAGCAAGTTCAAAGATCAATAAGGTTATATTTTACGTAGAAAAAGAAATATATTAGGGTAGAAGATTGGAAAAAGTGATGCAGAATAAAAGATGAGTGGATTTAATTGTGTTTTCAGTCACATTCTATATGGGATATGATTTAGCTACAAATTAATGATGCACAAGATGACTTCTATAAAAAATTTTGATAACTACCAACATGTGAAGAAAAATAAAATCAAACTCTATAAGATTACATGCTTTTACGACTTACGAACTCTGAAGATGCTATTTGGAGACTAGATTCTGATACTGTTTATGGGAGAATTATTTTATGTAATCCAACATTAATTTTCAAGATTGAAAATAGTGGAGACAAGTATTCCATACACAAGAGAAAGAAGTTTGACCTGTTGCTATTCATTCTTTTGTACCCGGTGCTAGGACGAATAACATGATGTCTGAACCTATAGAATTTGAATTGTGTCTGGACACCCAATTGGAGTTTAGTGGTTGCTAATCGTGTTCAAAAACCATGTATAGTGGATATAGA